GAGCGGTTTAAACCCGCTTATTTGCTGTCAGACGGGAGGTTAGAGAGGGCAGGGAGAATCAAGAAAGTCTCTTCGGGTCGTGAGAAATTTCCTTCAATTGGCAATGAATCACGTAAACATGAGTTGCTTTCAGCCACGGTTATTGCTGTTGGTGACGAGATTCTGTAAGTCATTTTCTTACAATCCGGTTCATCTATGTTAGATTCTATTCGATCATGATGGCATTTTTGTTTTATACAAATGCTAGGACGATTCATGGAGCTACTTTGTCCTCGTTATTACTAAAGACTTAATTTTTTTGCTAAGCATTATTTTTTTTCTGATATCATCTGATCTTTTTTTTCGTTTGCTTATCCTCCTGTGAAAAAAAACCCCCAGAAATTAGAACATAATGCTATATATATGGCATTAAAGTTAGTTAGACAAACAAACACCTTGTATATGGATGCAATGATGTTCTTCCGACTCTTTCATCTGTTCCATAGCTCAGGTTTGGCACTGTCGAGGATCAGTTGGGACAATCTTTGTGTAAGAAACTAAGTTCCGTTGGTTGGACGGTGCAACAAACTGCTGTTCTTCGGAATGATGTGAGTTATCGAATATATGATTTATCCTCTTGGTCACGTGAAAGCCCTTAAAACAATATTTCCTTGTGTTCTTCGGGTTGAGTGAGTTATCGTATATATGATTCATCCTCTTGGTCACGTGAAAGCCCTTAAAACAATATTTCCTTGTGTTCTTCGGGATGATGTGAGTTAAAACATAAGGTGTTTATTTTTTTTTTTTTGATGAAAACATAAGGTGTTTATTAACACATGGAAGAATTTTAATTGGGAAAAAGTATGTTATGTTTTCCTCTTATCAATCTCAACTCTTAGTTTATGGTTTTTTTACTGCTTTCTTGAACCAGATAGACTCTGTAGCAGAGGAAGTTGAACGCCAGACATGTACAAATGATATGGTAAGTCCCTTTCAGTGAATGAGAAAGAGAGAGTTTTTTGGTGTGGTCAGATATATGACTGATGGGTGATTGCTTTCGTAGGTATTTATATATGGAGGAGTTGGTCCACTTTCTTCAGATGTCACTTTGGCTGGTGTCGCTAAGGCATTTGGGGTTCACCTGGTATGGATTTTTTTCCCTGAATAGTTTTTAACAAAATGTCACGAATTTTTTTTATGTATTTGTGAATCTTCTCATGAATTCAGGCACCTGATGAAGAGTTTGAGGAATATCTTAGGCATCTTATCGGCCAAGGTGACAGAAATGAGGTGAGTTCACTTTCTTAAGTTGTGTATATGCTAAAACTGTTTGAAAAAAACTGATGCAAATGGTTCTTCGTGTATATATTATCACCCCCTTTATGTAAATTACAATTCGCTTTTTTGCTCTCCTTTAGCTTCTTTTTTTTCCTACCATGGATGATGTATATCATATTGCATGAAAAGAAACTAGAAATGAGAACAAATATTGTATAGAATCAGAATCATTTTTGCTGTGCTCCATCACCATTTCCTACTTGTGTTCTGACTATGGATTTTATGAATTGCTCATCTTTCCTTCTTCTTGTAAGATGGCTCAGTTGCCTGAAGGAATCACTGAACTGTTGCATCATGAGAAGCTTCCGATCCCGTTGGTGAGTATCTCAAAACTCCTTCGAAAGATAGATATTCAGACAAATATGGCGAACTCGTTTTAGGTTTGATCAGAATAAGAATCACAAAACAGAACTTCTTTCACTCTGTTATTTCTCATCGGCCCATTAATCCATGAATGATGGAATTGCAATGTGTAGATCAAATGTTGCAACGTGATCGTTCTTACCGCTACAAATACTAGCGAGCTGGACCAAGAATGGGAATGTCTCACCGAACTAACCAAACTGGGCAGTGTTCTGGCGGTTACCCAACCGTACACATCTAGGCGCTTAACGACAAGTTTGACTGATGTATGTGTCACCCTTTAAACTCTTATATTGTTTCATATCTTTTTCATCACCCTTATATTGCTTTGTCATGTGGTTGCATCTGTTATTGATATGACATTAATTCTATACGGTGAACTAAGTTAAGTTCCTGCCTTTTTATGGAATTTGCTAGCTTTTGATGTTAGAATCAGTTTATTACCGGTCTCCTCGGGAATGCAGGTTGAAGTTGCAGAGCCTCTCTCTAAGCTTTGTCTTGACTACCCGGACATCTATATCGGTATACATACTTGTTAATTGCCCTCGTCTGATTCATGCTTAGATCTTCGAAAATCTTCTCTTTAACCATTTTCTTCTTCACTGAGATACGTAGGTTGTTATCGCAAATCCAGGCAAGGGCCTATAGTTATATGCTTCAAGGGCAAGGTACACTAGACACTGAACCTCTCGATTCGGATTTCTTCACACAGTTACATAACGATGGGCTGTGTTTTCTCTACAGGATAAAGCACGGATTGATTCTGCGGTAGAAGCATTACACAATAAATTCAAGCAGGAGGGTGTGTTTGATGAAACCGAATAGAGAAAAGAGTATTTGGGTATGATTCGGTATTTCATGCCCACGAGGCTTCAATGGCAAAACAAGTTTTGTCAGCATGACAAGGGGCAAAAGCCCTTTACATTGGTAGAAACTGAAACAAGTTTTGTCACAGAACTTGATTTATCTCTGGGAATAAGAGTATTTACAGCCTTTCTCTTTGTCAACTCCGAGACTCTAGATCACAGAAGTTAACTTCTTTATTCAAATTTCAAATTTCACTCTCCTAAAAAGTTGAACCTTTCTGAGAGTTTTTGTCACTGCATGCCATCCCTGTGAGCAATCTGAGCCATAGGGATGGTGTAGAGTATATATATATATATATATATAACACGTATGAGAGCCAGTGATAGAGAGGCAAAGTTGCATATTTCGAAGAGAAATTGCTTCATTCAAACTGGAATTTGATCAAAACATACTGATTGCCTTTGCAGAATTCTCAGCAACAGCTAAACCAATGCTAAAACTGTCAAGGAAACAACTTAAGAGTCGAATACAGAAGAATTATATAGAGCAAATAAATGAAAGCAGATTGCTCTTCCATTTCCAGAACCCGAGCTTTGAAGTTCTCGAGTTTCAGGTAATGGAAAAAGACAGATTCTCATGAGAACTCAAGCCTTTGGTTTGAGAGGTTTAACAACTTCCCAAGTGAAATCTGGATCATCACGGCCAAAATGGCCATAGGCTGCAGTCTTCTGGAACCTGCCATTGCCTCCTCTCTTCAGATCGAGGTTAATGGAAATCATTCCCGGCCTAAAGTCGAAACTTTCCTTTATCAGAGCCAATATATTCATGTCTGGAATCTTCCCGGTCCCGTAAGTGTCCACGAACACAGATAACGGTTCAGGCACTCCAATGGCATAGGATACCTGTACAATGCAACGCCGTGCAAGGCCTGAAGCCACAACACTCTTGGCAGCTTGCCTCACGATATATGCACCGCTCCTGTCAACTTTGGTAGGGTCTTTGCCAGAGAAGGCACCTCCTCCATGGGCTCCCCATCCACCGTAAGTATCAATTATGATCTTTCTTCCAGTGAGCCCTGCATCACCGTGAGGTCCACCAATGACAAAACGGCCAGACGGGTTTAGGTGGAAAATGGTTTTGTCATCAAGGTATTGAGCTGGTATGACAGGCTTAATCACATGTTCTTTCAGATCGGAAGCAATTTGCTCATTGGTGACAGATTCATCGTGTTGGGTTGAGATGAGAACGGTGTGAACCCGAACAGGAATCATGGCTCCACCCTCGTTTTTGTACTCAACGGTCACTTGGGTCTTACCGTCGGGCCTCAACCATGGACAAGTCTTGTTCTTTCTAACCTCAGTGAGCTTGGCACCGAGCTTAGTGGCGAGGACATGGGTTAATGGCATAAGCTCAGGGGTCTCGTCGGTAGCATAGCCAAACATGTGTCCTTGGTCTCCGGCTCCAATCTCCTCGGGTTTCTTTGTGAGGTGACCATGAACCCCCTGAGCGATATCGGGGCTTTGTTGCTCGATGTTGACAAGGACCTTGCAGTTGTCAGCATCAAGACCAACATCAGCTGATGTGAACCCAATCCCTCTGCAAGTGTCTCTGACTATTTTCTCGTAGTCAACCTGAGCCTTGGTCGTGATCTCACCAAATACCATGACCATGTTAGTCTTGGTACAGGTCTCACATGCTACTTTGCTCTCTGGGTCTTGTTCCAGACAAGCATCGAGGATGGCGTCCGACACCTGATCACAGAGCTTGTCGGGATGCCCTTCATTCACAGATTCTGAGGTGAATAGGAAAGTCTCCATCTCTGCGAAAACCAAATTCATGTCACACTACCCATAACCATAACCATCCAGCCACTTTCATAAAGGAACAAGATGAAAATAAAACTATTAGAATACGAATTATAACTTCACTGAATGCTGTTGTATAACATATCCAGACCAAGACTGAACAAATTCTCTCTTTTTGATACGGGATCTACTGATGGCTTCATAATATTGAATTCAGGAATCAAGTTCCAATATAGCCCATTTCATCACAACAGTTCATCCTAAATTCGTACGATCTATCAACGAATACAAATTTTGTTTGAATCTCATCAGACACTCCCAAACCGGATCTGGGTGCCGAAACAGATCTCACTACGAACCAAATAAAGCACTACGAGACAGAAACAGGAGATCGAACCACGCGAACCCATGACGAGCATTAGATGCAGAAAAATGTAAAAACCAGTACAAATTCCACGGAAAAACAACAGAACAATCACATCAAAACACGGAAAGGCCAATATCAAGTCGCAAAACAAACCAAACAATCCCAGATTCAGGAATGAATCGCCGCTAAAACATTGTAAATTTCACAAATCAGACGACAAAATCGGACAGGAGAGAAGGACAAGCGAATGCACCTGCAGATCTGAGGAGTGTAGAAATGAACAGAGACAACGAGAAGGAAGAAAGCCTTAAAGGAGGCAGAGATTTTGTTCTGTTTCTCTTTTCTTAAGAATTATTAAGGAGCCCCTTCATTTACAACTAATTACATTTACCACCCCGCATTTTATTTTATTTACTTCCGCGTTTTCTTTTCCTTTTCTGTTTTGAACTGTAAAAGAATGTTCCACGCGCCTAACACGTCAAATAAATTAAAATAACCCAAAATTGGTTGTTTTTTCCATACTATAGTCCGTCGATTTATTGCGCACGCGCTCAACGCGCTGCACGCGCGCGTGGGGTTTTGTGCCCAATTTAAAATATTTGTCTAAAGCCCACGAGTGTGAACGTGGATCTTGAAATGGGTTGATACTTTTTAGCCCAATAGTTTAGACGGCCCATTGTAAAATATTATAAATTTATTTTATGATATATTAATATTTTAGGGAATTTTTATTCATTAAATCCTCGGTTTTCATTCAAACAAAAACCTCTGTGATTCGGATGTATATAATAGATATTGAAATGTATGTATCCTGGAATTTTGAAAATATAGTTTATTTAATTCATATTTTTATTAAAGTTTTGTTGTCATGCAAATTTTAAATATCGATTTATGAGAACGATGACTAAATTAGGATTATACCACGTTCCTTTATTCTTACACGCCAGAAAACCCTTGTGAGTTTGTTTATTGAAGTAAAATACCACATTTGTACATAAATTTGTACAATGAGAACCCAAGTTTTGTTTGGTGCAGGAAACTACCTCCTCCTCCCCCTCCAACGAGGAGGCAAAACACTGACTATGGCTTTCTAAAGAATGTCATCCTCATCCTAATTTCACCTGAATCAAAGTTCTCAACAAAAAGCTCTCACCTGTCTACTTTGACAAGGTTGTTTGTGATGTGTCCCTTGGTGACCGACTCTTTCTTAGGATCGACCCTCCACTGCCCGTCCACGATGAACTTTATCTGCAGTTACGGGAACTTGAATCAGAAAAGAAAAAAAAAACCCCGACCTGAGCGATTTTAAGATGGTGGATGGAAGATACACGCATCAGAACCTCGTATTTCCCGGGATACAACCACAGTAATGTCGACCAATATTTCTGTTTCCTGAAACACACACACACGCGGATGGAACGGCGAATCATGTAATAAGATCTTGTAAACCGAAGAAGTATGTGATGGATACAACAACATTAACTCAAATGTTCAAGTGATCCATAACCATTTCATGTTCAATGTTTCATCATAACAAGACACATAAAAGACTGGAAAGAATCTGACTTTCGCCATTCACGCAAGGTTAGCTACATGAATTTTATGATCGATGGTTTTGCGAAATCACGGGCTACTCTTAGTTTTCTGATGAGATGGCCGAAATCCAGAATTCTCTGGTGGTTTCAACTGTTATGCCTCTCTTTTTCCAACAAAATGTATCCCAAGAAACTCATCCCTTTGTGTTAAATGGAAATTTTAAAAGCATGACTGTTTTGTCAACAACCAGGAATAATCAGCTTATCACCTACTGAGGCTGTATATTATTATCTAATCAACAGATTCAGAGCTTTTTAAATGAAATAAAATAACTAATCAGAAAAGGTCTAAGTAGATGACGAGAAAATACTAACCCAATTGACTTGGATGGCTGAAGTTCCATTTCGACACGGTGTTGCCATCCATTGAAGCTGCCCGTCACCTCCACAGCACTACCATCTCCGCAGTATTCAATCTCTACCTAAAAACGATTTCACTTTTACTAAAATATTTAATACGACAGTGCAAAACAAAGACTTGTTTACAAAATTCCCACCAATAACCCGTGTCCAATAGTGCAAAGAATGATGTTACACATGTTTTTTTCAGAACATTAAGTGAGCAGAGTTTTATCTTAGATCTGTCTCCTGGCTGAAACATTACAGCTGTGATTTGACATAGTACAAGAAGTTTTAAAAGTAACCAGATCATAATCACTAATTAGTAGAGAACAAAATCAATGTACGTACCTCTTGCAATTCCGATAGACTTTCCTCTGCTGCTTGAAGTTCAGCATCCTTCTCTGAGATTAGCTGTTGAGCCTTGTTGACTTCTGTTTCAGCCTTTCTTTGAAGAACCGAAAGAGCTAGCTGAAACCGAAGGAGAGGAGAAATATTATAAAAACACAAACAGAGGCTAACATCAGAACATATCTAATGCCCGTATTAGATACGAGAAGAAACATGTCAATTACGCAGTTATGTTTAAAACACAAGGAGTTACTTAAATGCTCCATAGATGCAAATGGATAAATATACCTAGAAGTTAATATGAAAACACTTCAGGATTTGTCAATTCGCGTGTCTTTCATTGCTTGGCATCTTTGGGCGTAAATTTCTAGGCTTGCCCTCTAAACTGGTTTGCATTTTCAAGATTTCGATTTTTGGACAGGAAGCCAAACGCTTGGGTAAATCCAAAAGCACTTCCAGAAAAGTACTACTTTACCTTCTCCTTTTCAATCTGCTCCTTCAACCTTGACAATTCCAGCTCCTTTTCATGCTAAACACGAAAAAAAAGGCGCAAAGAAATTACAAGAACAACCGTAAGCGCTATGTCTTTCACTAATTTACCATACGCAGAAAAGAAAACAAAAGGAAGTACCAGCATAAACTTCAAACGATCGATTTCAATCTGATTTTCCCTTCTCCTGGTCTGTATCATTGCAGAACAAGTTCGTATGAGCATGAAGTATATAGTCGACAAGGTTCGATGAGATTGGTATTTGGTAAACACAATGGGTCACAAAATTTAAACTATGATGACAGATGATGTACCTCATCATGCAGTTCCTTGTCTGTATCAGCATTTTCATTTCTCAGACCATTGTTCCTGAGAATGAAAATAAAACCTTTAATGCACAACGTTGCTTTGGGAGAAATACACATTGACTCAAACTGCTTAGGTTCCTACTCAAGTATTTCAGTCAGGAAAAAGTAATGCATTGTTTACATACATTCTATACGATAAAAACCTGGCTTTGTATAAAAAGATAAGAAAATATGAACAGAGTATAATGAATATTATGAAACAGACCAGAGTATGAACGAGAATATAAAAAGCTCTAATAATTCCGTGCAAGTGAAATTCTCGAAATTATCAGTTTCTAGCCACCAATCAGAACCCTAACCTGTCAGAGCTGCCCACTTGGTCAGCATGGATAATCTTTTCTAACGCCAAGGCATTTCCATCTGATTTCATACTTGCATTTCTCTGGCTACCATAACTGTGCTCGCTGCTGCTGGTTGTCAACTGGACTTCTGCTGGATCATGTTTTTCTCTATTTCCCTCCGTTTCTTGAGGGCTTTCATTTGGTATATCATTCTCATTACCTGAAATCAACCTCAAAATTCAACTCGTATTCTCACCGCAAAATTAAGTATGAAAGAAAAAGGCCACCCAAAAGCAAGCGCCAATGACTACGATATTGATAGGACATGACATAAGTATTATCATCAAGACAAAGTTTCTGATCATGGCAACAAATTCGTAGGACTTACCATCCACTGTATCCAAGTATCCATCCTGAATAAATCTGGCCGTCTTTTCTTCTAAGCTCGAAGTGACTGAAGAAAGTCCTAGAATATGATCCTTGTCATCTGATCCATCTAGACTATGATCAAGATTGCCCAAACGATAATTAGCCACATCATCCATTGGCTGATTCTGACAAATCCCCTTATTGGAGATGTAGTCCTCCGGAGCCAGAGTAGACGAGGTCCCAGCAGCCACATCAGCATCATTACTGTAATTGAGAACTGGACTGTAGTGTTCATAGGTATAAACATCACCTGGCAATGCGGCATCTCTGCCTACATCATTGGCATCCTCATATTTTGTCACCAAAACGTTATCAGCCTCTTTGTCTGAACAACTTGGTGTATCATCTAAAACTAAAGAAACGTTTCCATATGTTGGAGCTTCAGAAGACGATAACTCATTGTCAACTGCCTTATTGATCTCCACACTGTCAATCTCCGAATCGCTTGCGGTAATTTCCCCCCAGTCACTATCCTCATCCATGTTTAAGTGTATTCCGTTATCCAAACTAGGGAGAGAGTTTTGCCTGCCCAAAGCCTTGGTTCGTGAAGATTCATCTTTACTGGCACCTCCATGTTCTTCAGCCCAGGGACCTAAAACTGTGATAACATTTCCTTCTCGTGAACTATCACTATCCCTATCAAAATGTCTTGCCATGCTCGAAAATCTGCTTGAAGACAACTCCTCTTCACCTACATCTTTTGCTCTTTCACCCTGACCTTTTAAACCATATAAATGTATCAGAAAAAAACTGTGATTCTATTGCACAATCTACCATTCAATTGCATCTTATTGTTAAAGAAGGCACACGTGGACCTGTTAAATCATCTTCTTCACAAACTCCAGCTGCACTTAGTTCCATATTTACTCTGTCCGGGGAAACTGGCTCTTTATTGTCTTCCATGTTTGAATTTGCAAGAAGCTCTCTGATGAACCTATATCCTCTTCGTCTCACAATGTTGGCAAGATCATTTCTACAGAATATTAACACAAGTATTAAGTCAACCTTCAAAATCATTTCGGAAAACGACGAACTCTTTCAATTACCGAGTTCACATCACACGATTCTGCAATACCAATGAGTCGAATACAGAACAGCATACTAAGAAATCACAAAGCTGCTACTAATTAACAGGGCCTGAAAGAGTTGGATTTCTAATAATTTGCATCTCTATCTTAAGCTGGGAAATGAACTATCACAACATCTACAAACCAATCTCCAAACCAATCATCTACAATTTTCATTCCAAAAGAGACGGAAAAAACTAGGAATCAGATGACCATTTCCACATGTATCAATTGCTTAACGTGTGTTCATAGCAATGACGTTAACCGCGAATGCCAATATCACCATGAACATCAGAGATTAAACTCGAGAATGTCGAAATTTTCAACCTTCCATGATGCGAGAGTTCCTTCATGGATGGCACATGATCTTCAGGAAACCCAGCCAACGCAATTAACTCCTTAATCTCACCTCGAAGCTCCTCGTTGCTCTTCACTTTCTTACGAACCCTGAAAAACCCACAATAAATTCGATCGAATTCAACCAAACCTGTAACGCACACATCCTGAAAAGAGTAACCCGAACTCGAGTTCACGCCGACGCGACAATTCTCCTACATTTTCCGCAGACTAAATCATACAAAAAACCAAAAAAAAAAACGAACCTGGTTTGTTTGACAGAACAGGCAAAGCAAATGAAACCGTGTTTCTTCCTTGAGTTACAGTCCGAAGCAGAGAGTTGCTGCTCATGATGATGGTGAAAGAAGAAAGGCTTGCGAGAGATACTTGACGATAGAAATAGAGAGAAAGGGATTTGAGAAATCGCCGCCATAGCCGAGCTTAAGAGACCTCTGTAATTCCCTGCATCAAGAAAAAATCCAGGAACTGCAAGAATATTATGCTAAGATGAAACACACTCCGCTAAATCATTTCGACTGATTTTTCTCTTATTATGTTTTTTTTTTTTTTTTTTTTTTTTTTTTTTTTTTTTTTTTTGCAACTTTCTGTTTCTATGAAAAAATCATGTTTCATGTGTTATGAAACAAAGCGGTTCGATGTTAAACCAAAACCAAACGCCTTTACTTAACCGGATTTTGGTTCAACCAAAAACCGAATTTATGGTCGAGCACAACCCTCCGAATCTCTGAGTACCCGACCCAGTGTACAACTCGAGTACGTCTCTTTGCTCCCTCCTCCGCCTCGACTTGTGTCTAACCCTATCCGAACTCAAGCAACCCAACAAAACCGGTTCCAAACCGGCTTGTAGTTTAAAAATCGACATAGGATCAAAACAAAATGACAAATTTAAATTGGCTGAACGGTAACCAATTTTTCCTGCAGAATACAAATCCTTTTTTTTTCTATTACAAACAGATCAGAATCTAAAATCCTAACCCGAGCTTCACTAAACCGGTTAAGTAGTTAACCATCGAACCAAGTTCTTATCTCCAGTATTACCACACTAGTAAAACCGGCAATAGTACAATGACCCTAAACCGGCTTTTCCTCCAAGAACGAATACAGATAAACCTCAGATACCAAGTGAAGCTTTAGACTCTAAGCTTTACACAATATACAGAACCTGTGAGAGAACAGCCGGTTTCAACTCTCCGGCTTCACACGCGCCTTTATTATCCCTGGGATGGGCGGCGATTCGGGAGCTCTTAAGGGTAAAGTACCCGAGGGGTCGGCTCGTGGCGTCGGGATGAGCCGAGGCTGAGGCTGAGGCTGCGAATGAGGATGGAAGGCTTCGGGTGGCACGATGCTAGGGCCTTCGAGGGCATCTCCTGACGGGAAATTGTTACCGACCGGAATGTTGTTGTCGCTCGGTGGTGGCCTCTCACAGAACTTCATCGACTTTAGGACAAAGTTATCATCGTGGAGCTCAAACGGAGAACTGCAATTAGATAGAATGAAAAGGTTGGTTCGCTGAAGATTAAATGTGGTTTTAGATTTAGGGTTTCAATGGGTTTTCGTCTACTCGCAGATCATGGGTTCCTCGTGGAAAAAAACACGAGAAAAAAAAAACTTACGTGTTAAAATCAAAGTGCACAAGCTGCATATCTTCGGATATTTCCACTTCAACCGTAGCATGAGGACGAGTCTGACGAGCAAAGGAACAGGCATGTTACACGAATGTAACAATCCGACGTTGAACAAAACAGGAATGAAGGACAAAAAAAAAGGACATCTTTATTGTTTGCTCGTCTCGGGTTTACATGGAAACAGTACAAGCACAATAATTGCAGGGAATTCAAGAAGCAAGATCGAGAGAGAGAGTGAAATAGACGAAAGGAAAGCTACCTGAACGAGTATAAAGGGAAGAGCGACGCCACCGCTTGGAGCGTTTCCCGAGCTGTATAACCGTCCATTTCTTCGTACCAAGTTCTGAAGGCCGACATACTTTAGGCAAAAAAAAAAAAAGAGGAAAAAAAATAAGGTTTACGATAGATAAAAACAAGTTTTAGATAGGTATACAAGGTGAAGGGCATTAGAATTAGAGGCTTACTTGTTCTTCCAGTTCTTGCAGATATGCAGCTTTCTTGTCAATCCTGTTTCTCAGTGCGAGACGCTCGGTCTGTACAATTAGTCAAAAAAGTCAAATGGCATCAGAACACGAGCAGTCACGGGCTCGGGGGGAGTTTATTTTTTTGAAGTTTCCAAGAGGAGAAAAAAAAGTGGTCAGAAACCTTTAATTCTTCGATGTCGCTTAGGCTGGTACGAGGGAGACCCTTCCATTGAATCTCCTTTTTATCCTTTGATATGATATCCATCGCCATGAGAACGTTCAGAGCATCATATACTCTTCTTCTTATGTTCTTCTCGTCATATTGTTGCTGCAACATAAGTTTTCAAGATTTTGACATACGGAAGAGGAATGAAAAAATTCAGCATGCATGCACGCATATATGTACACGTGTACACACAGAAGCATATGAACTAATCAAAGTATATGAACCTGGCCCGGGGATGGTCCATTGTTCCCGGGATCTGCAAATTCAGCAACGAGTTCATCTGCAACCTGAAAATGCTTTCGACGTTCAGATACATTGTTGAGATACTGTATGCTTGCAATACTATTCATTATACAAACAGGGATTATTGTAGAACTATCTTGATTTTCTACTGTTTGATTTTCTACATCAGTAAAAAACCACCCAAGATGTAAAACTTCTACCATGCAAAAAAAACAGTATCGGTATCTTGGTATACTAAGAACATCATTTTGCATAACGAGAAAACTGATTCCGTCCTTTGAGAACAGATTTGGGTATCAGCTGAAAGCCTGAAACAGGTGATTGGCTCTTGCAATGCAAACATATGCTGGAAGCTTTCAGTGTAAAGAAATCAAAATCAATGCACAGGAACGAACGTCTTCTAAGAAACCACCTTACCTCATTGTAAGTAGTCCTTCCCTTGCTTTCCACCTTTTCACAAACTGAGAAAAAAGCAAAAAGAACTCGTAATCAGATCAAGGAGTCACAAAGAAAAAAAAGAAAAAACGATCAAGGAGCCAACGATAGTAAGCCATTCATTCCAAACTTGAAGAGAATAGCTGGATTCGATAATGAGATAATTCATTCTTGATAACACCTTCGAGTTTTTCAAACAAAAGCAAAGGAAGAACAGAAAGGTGGAAATGGAGAGAGAATAACAGTAAAGACCTTTCATGCTAAACTGTCGTAGCCCTCTCCCACTCTTATCAGGCCCAACTGCTCGTTGGCCCCTCTTTTTCTTCTTACCACTGGTGATACACAGACAACTGATCAAGTTTGATGATTATAATTCCAGACAATGTGGTCAATAGCTTCAGATTGTTTAAAATGTTGTATTAACTTCAGACAGAAGGGAATATCGACGCGTTACACAGGATGGAGAACCAAATTCAAGTACATAAACGAACGATTCACATGATGAATAATCACATAGATCAAGTTTGATTTCCCAAACTTGATCTAATTACTTCTTGATACAATGGGTGTTTTAACATAAGACTCCCAAAACCGAAGAAACACAGTTCCTTCTAAGCCAGTACTTGCGTCAAGTTTATCCTATATAGCTGTTTCAAATGCCTAACATATTCGTCTTATTCTCCAATGCTGTGCCAGATAAGAAACCCCAACCCAAATTTTAAGCTCAAACAAGAAAATAGGATACCCAAATTGCAGCCATCTTAACGTGTGCCTGGCAAAGAAAACAGACCAGGAAGCGAAAAGTAAAAAAGTTTATACAAGGAAACCCTAGATCATCAAAACCCACTACAATTAAATTCAGTCACATGGAACTCATCAAACCTTCAAGAACCAAGAAGCCCAAAGAACTAACAATGTCAACATACCCTACGGCTCCCTGGGAACCGGCATCGTCGCCCTGAATGTCCAATTGGTTCATCCGGAGAAAGGTGCTGTCGCTCGCCGGTGTGGCCATGGTGGCATGCTCGCTCCGGCTCGACGGCGGGC